AAAAAAAAAGATAGAAAAAGAATAAAAAAGGTGCGACTAGCAAACAAATGAACAAAATTATCCAATAGCCTGAATAATAGGTGGGTCCGTATGCGATACATGCAGTTACGAGAAACGTGTTAAGTATTTATTTAAGTCCCGTAATTTTCTAAACGTTACGAATCAATTGATATATAATATATATACATATATATATATAGAATATCTTTTGATTGTTTGTTAACCAATGACTGTGTTTCGTTTTTACGTGACGTCCGTTTCTAATCATTCATATATATATATATATATATATGTATGGTGAAAATACTTTTTGATTCATGATACGTAGAAATGAAAAAAAAAAATAAAAAGAATATTTATCATTAATCATTACCAAAGTAAGAACCTTAAAACGTCGAGAGAAAGAAAACGTGACAACTTTTGAAACGATTGTCCATTGTTTTTTATTTTTATTTATTTATTTATTTTTTTATAAATAGAATTGATCATTATTATTTAATATTAAAATTAATTTAACAATATTGGATGAATTTTGTTATGTATTATAAAAATTAATATTACAAATTTTGTTTAAATAATAAGCTTTTATTATAGTCAAAGAAATATTGTAGTTAATTTATTAAAAATATTAATAATTAAATATAAATTTATTTAATATTTATATTATTTATAATTATATAATTTTTCAATATTAATATTATAATAATTATATATTATAAATAATATTATGAATTTAGTTAAGTTATATAAATAATATTTTATAAATTAGGTTAGGTTATAAATAATATTTTATAAATTAGGTTAAGGTTATATAAATAATATTTTATAAATTAGGTAAGGTTATAAATAATATTATTATAATAATTATATATTATATAAATAATATTATAAATTAGGTTAGGTTATATAAATAATATTATATAAATTAGATTAGGTTACATAAATAATATTATATTAATTAGGTTAGGTTATAAATAATATTATATAAATTAGGTTAAGTTATAAATCATATTATAAAAATATATTATATATAATTAATTATTTATATATATATATATATATCTATTCAAAATATAAACTCAATAAATACATACATATATATATATATATATATATATATATATATATATATATATATATATATTTATAATAATAATAATTAAGCATTTTGACAACAACTAAAAATATTTCGTCAATAATACTTCGACGACTTATTTTTCGTTTCGTCCAAATTAAAAATGACCTTGAACTATTGTTTAGTCTTTTCTTCTTTTTTCTTCTCAAGATTTCATTGACAACTTTTTATAAGTTTTGCTTTACGTAATAAATGTCAAGGTTGAAGATACGTCAAAAAAAACTTCTTGATATTTTTTTTTTTTTGGTTTTAAATACTCGCATCATTCATTTGAAATATTTTTTTTTCTCTCTCTCTCTCTCTCTCTCTCTCTCTCTCTCTCTCGTAAATAAAAATTACGTTGACATGAAATATTTTACATTGGGATATGTATAATTATACGTAGAGATTTAATTGCAGGTTACTGGTAGTGTGTTGTAAACGATTTGTCCATTTTTCTTTTTCTTTTTTTTCTTTTTTTTTGTACTCTTTGTCTGACGCATCGATTTTTTTTTTTCTTCGTAATAACTCGATCGCTTGTTTTCCAGGTCATCGGTTTTAATTTATTTTCTTTGTTTTTTGTTTCTTTTTCTTTTTCTTTTTCTTTTTTTTCCCCCCGTTTATATACTTCGAAAACATTCAGATGATAAAATGACGACAATTGTAAAACCAATGAGTGATTTAATAAACAAATTATTTTATTCTAATAATATTTCTCTAAGTATTTTTTAATTTATTAATTAATAACACATACTAGAATGTTAATAAATAATAATACACGAAACAAAATAGAAAGAGTAAGGTTGTGTCGTATGTAAATTGAAATACAGTGCCATCTATCGAATATTTACAGAACCAAAATATCTAAATAACCTCTTAATAATAAATCATTGAAATTTGTAATACAAAAATACAAAATAATTGCGATAAAAATTAATTTATGTTT